TGCCTCCTTATCGAGGAGGGTGAAGAGGAGGGAAATGATGAGGAGGAAGAGAAGGGTGAAGAGGAAGAGGGAGGGTGATGCTCCACGCTCAGTTCAGTCTGACGGTACGGACGTCCCTGCTGTTGCTGTTGTTGCCAGGGAGTTGATCCTGGATGCTGTCGTTGCTGCTGCTGTTGGTATTGCTGTTGCTGTCGCTGCTGAAGACCTCTGCGCTGCTGATGCTGTTGCGGCGGTGGCCGGCGTTTGCCTAGTACGATTCACCACGAGGTTTCGGATGTGAGCTCATTTGAACGCCACAAAATGCACTTTTTTGTATCCAATACAATAGTCTATTGGATTTTTTAAAACCATCACGTTATGATTATATTTGACATTGTAACGAGAAAGACATTCCAACAAAAAGTAGGCATACTTAAAGAGGAAAAATTTTCCTGGATGGTAATATCTGACACGGGAACAATACACCTTGATAAAACACCGATACCAAACTAGCAGTTTCCAAAAACAAAAACCAGCAACAACAACAAAATGTTTTCATGTAACTAATACGCACACGTAAAATAAACAGAATAATATTAATAATATAGCGCTACCTCATTTCTACCAAAACCGGGTGTTTCAGCTGTTGTTACGGATCATAGCAAAAAATATCAATTATAACGACAGTAAGTCGAGCAATGACTACAAACTGCCACAAAAGCGTGAACATCTTGGCTGTTAAACAAAGGGGCGTCATCCAAATAGCTGATTTCATATATACGCGTATTCGGGTCACGAGAGCGATATAATCCGGATTGCAACAAAACTGACAGACAACAACGATGTCAGGTGTCTCGGTTCCAAACTAAAAATAGCACACACCTTGGCCGGAACCCAAAGAGTGAGCACAGAATAACGCCGGAGAAAAAGAAGCAGAGACTGTGAACAGATTTCTCGGAGCTCACAGAAAAGCGTAACTCAACAAAGAGTTCGGGGACTTAGCTTTATTGTGGGACAGTCACAGATAAGCAGGAGTTTTAACATTTATTTTTGGTCCAAGACGCCGAGAACTTTTGAACTGCTTCTGTAGCCGACATTGTTGCTGTTTGATACGTTGCTTAGAATGTAGGCCTACGTCTAACTGCTGAGGTTTTGAATTCAGCCTAATTAGTGACTTTAAGAATCTCGTTAACATTGGGGGGGTGTCTGAGACGGCAAATCTGAATAAAGTCGTCGGACAAAGCATTTTAACCAGAAATCTGACGAGACATTCTCAAGAAGGATGTGGAAGACTATAAAAAAAAACCCACTGAAATCCAAAAAGTTTTCAACAGCTAATCATTTAAGTGTTCACATTGTAGTGATAATAACAGTATGGCAACACTTCTCAATAATTTGCCTGTATCACATGAGAAGGTCTTTACAGCAAAAAGAGCTTACCATAAATAACACAAAAAGTCATTGTACACTTGTGCGTACTACAAGAAAGGTGACCAGAATACATCATTGTCATAACTCAGTCTTATAAACATCTGCAACTTCAAACACCTGTTTTTTGTGCTGTATGTTATTTTTTCTCTGAAATTCTGAGCGAACAAGAAGAGGTATATAGACTGTGATGAGACATTTCTCTAAGACATGTTCCTTTTGGAGAAAACAAACAATCCGTGTGGAAACACCATAAAAAGAATAAATCAACAGTTTTTTTAAATTTTTATCATCGCTTAAACGTGAGTGTACATTGGTATACCTGTCATATAAACACATCAGTGAAAACTGCATAAAACAAACAACAACAAAATCAGCCGTTAGACGGTTAGCGATGGGTCATAGAATAGGAAATAAAGTACAGTAAAAATCCTGATAACGTTAACTTTATGGGGACCAGATAATTATTTTGTGTGAAACAGATGTCAAGGTAAGAGAAGTTGCAATGCATGGAATAAAGATGGAGGAAGGGTAGGAGAACGGGAAGGGTGGGTGAATTTGAAATCCTTTCGTGATAACATAAATTTCTTGTTAAATAACTTCGTATTAGAAAAAAAAAAGTCCACTGCATATGTTACTACAGAGTTGTTTTTTGTCGAAATCGTAGTGAACTAGGGAGATCAAAGGGCCAACTCTAAAAAAAATACAAGTACAAGAAGAGAGTCATAGATAATGTGACATTGTAGTAGAAATTGAGATCCGGAAGATAAGATTAGTTGCAAATATTTCCTTTAACCGAAAGCATGTTAGTAACAAAACATTTACTGATTATAGCACATAATTGCAGTATGGTTAATCACAAAGCCTAAATATTGTACCATTTGTCAATAGGAGAGTACGATAAGCCAGTGGAAGTCATGAATATGAACAATAACTAGAGGGGGGAAAAAAAGAAAAAAGAGACTACAAAAGGGTAGTGGATATTGGCCATAGATTTGTATTATAATATCCAAAACTATGCACGCTGACTCATTTTATAACCAAATGAAAGGCACAGAAGGAGAGGGTGTGCGGGCACTCTACTATAGTAATATCGAGACTGGCGTTTTGCGCTTCACTTACGCGCCAATTGTTCGCGTCAGCTCAGCGAAGTCTTTAATGAAGACGAGAAATGAGGGGCGGCCATGATAGTGCCCGGTCTAGGATATTATAATTCAAGTCTATGATATTGGTAAATGTCATTATTGGGGAACAAAGGGGAGGGTTTGAACAAAAAGAAATCACTACCTGTGCTGGGGTCTAGATTTACAGTGAGGCTGGTGGCGTGCCGACTACCGGATGATGGGCGGTTTGTGGGTGAACTGCTGCCGCTTGTGCTGCTTTGGTATTGGTTGTAGTGTGGTGAAGTGTTCATGCTCATGTTGTTGCTGCTGTTGTTGTTGTTGTTGTTGTTAAAGAGGATGTTGCTGCCGCTGCTGGTGTCCATGAGAAAGGACGAGGTGGTGCTGAAGCTGCTGCTGGGGGACCATGCAGCCATGCTGTTGTTGCTGGTGTCGTTGTTGTTGTTGTTGCTATTGTTGTTGTTGTTGTTGTTGTTGTTGTTACTATAAGAGGCACCACCACTGCCAGCCCCGTTCACGGCGGCAACGGCTGTGTCAGGGGCGTAGCCCTCGTCGAGGGGCGGGGCCGGTGGAGGAGGTGAGGAGGGCTCTGCTGGCACAGGCCCTGAAAGCACAACACGAACACAACACACACGGCTAGCCTTAGTGCAGTGACACACACACTCACACCTACTACAGTGGAAGCTACTACGACCATAACAAAGGGTGGGCAAAATTAAAGAGAAAGAAACCAAAAAATAAAAAAAACCCAAACAAACAACAACAAAAAACGAAAGAACTAAGAAGTAAGAAAATAAAGAAGAGAAAAGAGGACAGAAAGCGCAACTAAAGCAATAATTTTCCATTGCCAACTTGTATTAACCTCGGAGTACAATGGGAGAAAATGACAAAAATGAAGGTTTCCATTGCAAAATGTACCTTACGCCCAAACCTGGACATTTCCGGAAAATCCCATCCGTTCCATATAATCGTATGATAAGAATTGTAATGAGAACTGTCTTCCTTCTGAAAATGCACTGAATCCATCGATATATTTAATATTATAAAAATTTCATTTTGTTCATACTTTAATCGTTTTCAGAGAATAATCATCTTTTTTTTACTTCACTTTTCTCTGTTTTTGTAGTCAACGGATACAGTCTGTTTTGATTGGGGGCCCTTCAATTCGAGAATCTGATTCAGCGGGTTGCTATTGCATTGCGTGAATGTCGGTAACTGACAACTGATCCGTTCATCAGGAAAATATCAACTGCAGTTCAAGACAGACTGTCAAATATTTCGTTAAAACTAAGCTCGGTTCTATTGGACTAAATGGGGTTTTAGCATCCCCAATAACACTCTGTATGCCATAGTGCCTACTGGATACGAAAAATAATGTTTAAAATTCTGAATTTTTCGGAGTGGGGGGAAACGCACGCAAGAGGAATCAGTTTTGAAGATTATGTAATTTTTTGGAGTAAGTGTTTTACGGCGCTCGCAACTTTATAATGTCATATTATGAGCGCGCAGGACATATAGTAAACATTTTCAGTTGATAGGAAATAATTTCTGTTTGTTACATCTTGTGTCAAGACTAATGTTATAAAAAGTGCAAAATCTGGAATAGTTCATTTATCCTGTTTTGCGAATTTATCCGGAAAATAGACCTCCATGTCCTATAAGTAGCATATAAAACTATGAAAAGGGATTTAAAAAGTCAAATAATCCAATTTTCCCACCCATTATCTCTATCGAACCAGTTGAAAGAACCCACGGCAAATTTATGGCGCTGTTCAGACGGACATTTCTCATTATGCTATCACTTGTCGTTGCGCTCTCTGTCTTTTTCCAACATCTGAGATGAGAACGTACACAGCAGAGTACGTGCATTACGAGAGAGAGAGAGAGAGAGAGAGAGAGAGAGAGAGAGAGAGAGAGAGAGAGAGAGAGAGAGAGAGAGAGAGAGAGAGAACAGACAGGCAGACAGACAGACTGACAGACAGACAGACAAAAAAATATCTCAGAGAAACAATTTGTGTGCTCACTTCATACCCCCCAAAAAATTAGTGCCAGAAACAAACGTGCCACAGTCGTACAGAAAAAAAAAACATACAAAGAATATAATCGTGAATGAGAAGTCCTTGTTTTACTATAGTTTGTGTTTTTCTATGGGGTTTAGGGAAGGGGGAGTGAATGAACATTGAATATGTTCCAAGTTGTCTTTGTTTTCATAAACTCTCCGTGTGTGTGTGTATGTGTGTGTGTGTGTGTGTGTGTGTGTGAGTGTGTGAGTGTGTGAGTGTGTGTGTGTGTGTGTGTTTGTGTGTTCAGGTGTGTGTCACCATAGTGACCACCCATTACGACATATTCCACTCACTGGTAACCCTCGATTAA